TTAAACTCAGCACATAGCTTCCTAATTGTTCTATTTCGTATTTCATTTAACCATGTATTCATCGATTTTAACCTTGGATCCAATATGGTAGCAATTAATCCAATATGTTCAGGATCATGCCAATAATGTTCAAGAGAATTATAAATAACTCTTCGAACTTCTGAAATTATTCTTTCATTCGAAGGTAGCTTGCAGTTGGTCATATCTTCAACTATATCATCCGAATTTTCATCACCAAATTTATTGTTAGAAGCTAATATTTTATTATAAGTATTAAGAGTTTAATATTTAATATTTCAAATAATTAAATTAAAAGACACTTTTATTTACTAATAGTAGTATGTATCAAAATTAAATTAAAAAACTTTTATTTTTACCTTCAGGTGCGCTTTCATTGTTACTTTCAAGCTCATCCGAAGTAGACATATTATTATCAAAAAATTCAGCTTTTAATGCCTCAATGGTTGGATTAACAACTGAAAAGTTGGTATAACGGATTCCACTAAGATAAGTAGTTAGTTCATCAAATGAGTTAAATACTTTTATCAATTTTTGTAACAGCACCCATTCAGTATCATTGAGCATAAGATTTTTTAATTTATTAGAATCCTCTATAACGCCATCCTCATCTCCCAAATATAGAGTGGCTGAAAGCCATTCAATTGCTGGACGCAGTACTAAAAGTCTTTTCCAGAACTTGTACGTTGAGTTCTAGCAGGTTTTAACATCACTAATTGTGCGTAAAATTTTAGGTGCTGCTTCAAATATTTTCGATTGATCATTGTCATCAATTTCTACCTCAGGTGAGCTTTCATTTAAATTGTCAAAAGAATGTAATTGAATGGAAGTCGGGGGTGGTTTTACTATGTTGAGCTAATTCTATCTGTACCTGGTCAAGGCATTGACTCTGCTTTGATGATTGAAAAAATTTGATCAGTTCGTCGATTTTTCAGATATATGGTTTTATAACTTTCAGGGCCTAAATGACTGTTAATTGGAGAGTATGAACTGAGCAGAGAACGCAGTCTACACTATCCCAGATCCTAATAGCTTTTTTCATATTTGTGCCATTATCACTAATAGCACAAATTATTTTTTCACCTAATCCAAATTCATTAATTTTTTGATATAGGTATTCTTTGATTCTTTTACTGATATGTAGGTAATCCATTTTTTTAACAGCCAATATGGCATCATAGATTTTGAAGTCTTGTGCCAACCAATAGACAGTCATACTAATATATGCATCATTATTTTGAGATGTCCATAGATCCGTAGTGATTAAAGCTGTTTCACAAGTAGTAAGAAGTAATTCTTTCATTTCCATTACACTTTTTTGGTAAGCAATCATGAGGTCTTTTTTAATATTTTTGCGATTTGGTGGTTTAAACGCTAGGTCAACTCTATTAATTATTTTTCTATACCCTACTCCATAAATAGTAGTAAAGAGCAAAGAGTTGGTAATCAACCACTCAGCAGTAACTCTCCTTAGTTCCGCTTGTATTGTTTCCCTATGAGGCATTACTTTCCTAACTATTTGATCAATACGTAGCTGATGCTTTTTGTTCAAGTTCATTTGGCCCCAAGATTTTATATTTTACTCAAAGATGAAGTTTCATATTTCCGGTTCCAGTATCATACTTGTAATCCATTCCACATTCTTCCTCTTTTCTGTTTCTAAATACGATTATCTTACATACTGTACGTCCCTTTTCTATTTGAAAATAGTCCTATACATAGCTTTTTACATAGCCTTTTTTGACTACTGGATCAGTGATATTTACTCAGATTTTTTTTACACTTTTTTCTTCTTCATTTCCATCAATAGTCTTTCTTCTAGCTGCGGTACTACGAAGTTCATCATCATTATTTTAAGGTTCGGCATCCGAGTTAATATAAAGGTCAGTACAAGAGTCATCAAAATAAGGGTCAGTATAAGGGTCAGCATAAGGGTCAACGTTAGAATTAGCATAAGAGCTAGTGCAAGGGATACTATCAGAGTTATATTCATTGTTGCTATCCATGATTGTTAGAAATAACGACAGAGAAGGTTAATTTAAATAAGACTTTTTATTGTGTAGTAAGTGAATCTAATTGTTTATTATCTTTTTTTTTGAACAATGAAGGATAAACTAAGAACTTTTTATATGAAATTTTTGAGACTTATTAACATAAGATTTTTTTTATAAATTACTTGAAAATTGCCAGAATTCTATGGGTTTTAGCAATTTTATTGTATTCATTCGTGATTTTAGTAAACTTTGGCAATTTCATTGTATGCATTTGTGATTTTAGCAACTTCAAGTGCATTTGTTAAGCTTTGACTATTACAACTTAATTTTCATAATTTTCATTTTCTTAATTTAGTAATCAAGTTTATATTTAGAATTTTAGCAATTCTGGTAATGGTAAATTGCATTTTTACTATTTTTGGCATCATGCTAATTGTAGGTCACTTCTACAAAAAGATAAGTATATATGCATACTTTTTTTTTTGTTTGTTTGTTTTAAATGTTTAACGTTTTAACATTTAGGACGCTCAACACTAAAATATTGGTTTGATAAAGCTGAAATGCGAAAATTAAAAAAGGTATGTATGTTACATCCTTTTATAGGATAGTCTGTACTATTAGTTTTCTGATTTTAACATTAAATTGTGTAAGATTATGTTTTTGTACATGTGGCACTACTGTAAATTGAGATAGTCCTATTTCTCACAATGCTAACTAATTTTTTTCTAAACTACAACAATATGGTATAGATAACCAGAGCCATATAAGTGATGCTAAAGGAAAAACTAAAATTTATTATTGGCTATTTATCAGACTTAGCCCTGGTTAGGACAAACGATATGTAAGTAACTTTAATTATGCATCATATATGCAGCCCATTGAGTTAAACCTGATAATAACAAATAATAAGTTTCTCTTGGTGTCACTTATATGGAACGTTGTGTATAGTGGCTATTTATTCGATATTATATATTATTATAGTAGGTAGGTAGTTGTCAAGCAGTATGGTAAAGTTTTTAAAATTAGTGCGTTCTATACAGTATTTTCACAAATTAGTATGGTTTGTCTTTGGGTGAGCAGATTGGCCGATTATTAAAATCTGTACCATACTAATTCAATATTATTGTTAGGGTTAGGAATTATACTAATTAGTATGATATAGATTTTAAAAATCGGCCTGTACTATACTGATCTGCTTATCCAGGGTTGTAAAATTATGTGTAAGTTACCAAAATAGCTGCTTAATAGTACCTTACGGTAAGTTACCTTGGACTATCAGAACTAACAAGATTTTGTAACAAATCAAAATTTTACGTCACGATTTATTATAGTTGATAAGTTATAATTAGTAACTTACCGGTATACTAATCTGCTATAATTCTTTAATATTCAGAAAATTCTCAATTTATATTAAGAATTATTGATGGAATGGTGTGTATGATATCAATATAAAGGGGAATAGTCTGTGCCTCCTTATTTTGAGGAGATTATTTATTAAGAATGCCTTATATTAGTGTATAATCGTTTTATTCAAATAAATTGGGTTTATCAAAGTATTGTTATGGGTAAGGAAGCAATTGAAACATTTATGACTGTTTAACTTCTAGCTTACTATTATTTCATTCATTCATTATAGAAAGGTCGAATTCTATATCATTTCAAGTTGCATTATTTAATCCTTGCTACTTTGACATGTTTTTTATAATGTCTTCTTGTACTTAACGCTCTCTCTTCCAATGGGATATGATTTCAATTTGGATTTCATTTTGATGCTATGGCTTCGAACTATACTTTATGATAATATTTCAAAGATTATAAAGTGTAATTATGTACATTGAACTTGGCCTTAAATATTCCAAAAAGTTTAGTTTGGAATTTTCAGAGTTTATAAATTTTTAAACAGAGATAGACGACTATATATACATCATTATATAAATCTCTTAAGAAATTTTAGCAAAGCAAACAAAAACCATATATATATTACCTTTTGACTTGATATAAAAGTAATTGTAATTGAATATATTTCGATTAGGGATTTACCTTCAAACAATCATTTTACTAACAGCTCATTTAGCTGATATCATGCCAAGTGACAATTTGCGAAAATGTATATTTGCAACTAATAAAATACTGTTTTTAATCCTGTGTGATATTAGCTAAATGAACTTTCAGTAAAATGATAGTTGAAGTGAGCTAAAATATATTGAGAGATCAAGCACATGAACCAAATATTAAACTCAGACTTTATTCTATTATTATCCGGATATTCAATTCAGGTATTTTATCCAGGTATTATCCAGGTACTACCCAGGTATTATTATCTAGATATTTATCTGGGTACGTTTATATGGGTAGCTGAGTTCACAACTCAGATATCCGACTATCTGTAGATAACCCAGGTAATACCCTACCCGGGTACTATCACTAGCCGAAGATATAAAAAAAAAAAATAAGAAAATCATAAATTTGTATAAAAAGTTTATATAAATTTATAATTTTCTTATATACTATAAGATTTATCTAGTTTTATATTAAATTTTATATAAGTTTATAATTTTTTTATTTTTTATTCTTTTTTTTTAATGAATTCAGCAGTCTTGCCTTCACTTTATTAGGCTTTGCAATAATTTTCTAAACTATTAAAATTTTTCAAAGAGTTAATCTCTTTGGTACCTAAATCTTCCTACTTATAATATGCTAATCTCTGTCACAAAAAAAAGTAACAGGCCCTATGAAATACCCTTGCGTCAGCAGGAGTATTTCATGGGGCCCGTTACTTTTTTTGTAGTAGAGATTAACATATCATAAGTAGCTCCATTAATCAGGGATTTTTAAAGTTCACCTTAGTGGTGGTATTACATAACTTTTTCCATTTCACATTTTTGCGAAATTGGCAAAATTCAAACTCCACCAAAACAGAGTTTGAAACTCCACCAAGTGGCAAAAGTTACATGACCTGTGTAGTGTAATAGCATAAAAATCCCAATACTATGAAGACTAATGATGCTGCCCGAAACTTCTTTGAGCTAATGCCCAAAACCGAATCTTCAACACTCTGTCAGAAACTAATTTAGCATAAACAAACCAGCATAATTGCACTTTCTAGGTAACTAATTCTCCAACAATCACAACTATTTTCCAAACTACAACAATCCTTTTTTAATAACCTGATACAACAACCTACTTAACTCTCCTATCTTTGATAACTACTTAACCACAACCTTTTTGACAATCTCTCCTTCCTTAAACTCTCCCCTTCCTGACATCACTACTTCTGCAACACCACTACTTCACCACACACTTCCTCACAATTGCCTTCTAAAAATCTTCGCATTCTCATCATGCTAAATTATTATCATATTTAAATAAAATAAGTTATTAAAAAATAAAATTGCTCAAATAAAAATAAAAATAATATAAATATTAATTTAAAAAAAAGAACCATTAAATAAAAAATAAAAGTTTAAGTTAAAATTAAAAAATCAATACGTTAAATAAAAATATAAAAGTTTAAATTAATTAAGAATAAAAAATCAAAAAAGTCAGATTTTGCTCTGGCCAATCAAATTTTAAAATCACATGTAATCAAAATTTACAAATTTATATTATGTGATCTTGAAAATTTGATTGGCCGGCAAAATTTTTGTATAGTATTTTTTTAGTTGTTTTATTTTTAATTATTGCAGTTTGCAAAAAAATATGAAATTTGCAGAACAAAAAAAAAAAAAATCGATGATTTCTGATTTTCGATTGCCAATTTTTTTAACATTACTTCTAATGACATATATATATCAACTAATATTAAACCATATAAAGTCTTATATACAGTCAACTCTCTCTAAGTGCAATTTATGCAGACTATATAGAAATTTTAAAAATCTTGCATTTATAGAGGTATTGCATTTAGAGAGGTAAAAATCTATAAGTGTATATGTAGTAGAGACACAACAAAGCCGTGCATTTATGGAGGTTTTTCATAGAACATGTATTTAGGGAGGTTGTATTTATGGAGGTCTGACTATATATTTATTTAGCATACATTTTTTTAAAAAAAATCCATTTCTAATGACTAAAATTATTATCCTGGAGCATGCTTTGGATGCACAAATGTCTTTTTTATCAACTTCTAAAATTTATTGTAATGAAAATATAAGTTATACTAAAGTTCCTTAGCAATATCATGTAATAATTCTTATAAGATTGAATTTAGTGTAGCTTTTAAATTTTCTTCTTGCTTATTATGCAATAGTAAATTTTGCCAGGCTAGAAAAGAAGCAAAATTTAATATTACGGAATTATGTTCTTTACAACATAAAGAGTATGCAAAATATATTTCTACAAAAGATGTTAAATCAAAATATGTTACAAAATGAATCTACAACTTTTATTTTTGCAAAAAAAATGTTGAAAAAATCGGCAATCAGAATCAGAAATCATCAATTACTTTTTTTTTTTTTGTTTTGCAAATTTTATATTTTTTTGCAAACCGCAATAAATAATTGTGTTTACGATCGTGATTGCTAAAGCCATCTAATTTATCATGAATCTGAGTTTGTATCAGGCTTAAATTTATAAATTGACTGGCTTTAGCAATAGCTGTCGCAACTACAATAATTAAACAAAAAAATTGAACTATAGGATTCACAAAATTATACAAACTGCAATAAAATATAAATGATAACAGGAGAAACTGTCCAAATATAAATATGATTTTTATTTTCTATTACACAGATCACTCATTATATCAACTAGTCAAAATATCACTATAGGATTAGTTAACCAATCAAATTACGAAATTTATAAAAAGACAAAACTATAGGATTCAAGGGGATTCAAAAAATATGTTGTAAAGCAAAGTGAGAGCTTTATATTTGTTTAACCATTTTCAATTCATAGAAAAGATAAGTCAAGCGAGCCTTCCAAAATTATATTGTAAAATAATATAAAAATATTTTTCATCAATTGTGTAATGATTTTGTGATGTATCAATGGTTCAAAGAATCGATCTGATTTCTTTTTTTTTTGATCTGCAAATTTCACATTTTTTTGCAAACCGCAATAACTTATTATTATTATTCAAGTTTTTTTAATTTAAATGTTTTTTTTTAAAATATATATTATTGTGGTTTGCACAGTTTTGTGACTCTTATAATTACTTTTTTTTATCATTAAATGATTGTAATTGCAATCACAATTGTTAAAGCTGGTTAATTTATCATAAATCTAAACTTGACACAAACTCAGATTCATGATAAATTGGCTGCTTTAGCAATCATGATTGCAATCATAATCATTTATTTATAAAAAAATTAACTGTAGAGGTCACAAAATTATGCAAACCACAATAATTTAAAATTTTTTCAATTAACTTATAATTTGATTGTTTTTTTACTTAAACAGTAATTTTTTATAACTTAGATTTTTTTAATTTTTTTTATAATTGTTTTTAAATAGTGATAGTGTTGTAGCGAAATTAATGAAAAAGTGTTTAGAGAAGGGTGATGTTAGAAAAGAGGTGTCAGAGAAGGGTAGTGCTGGGAAAGAATGGTGTTTAAAAAGAATAGTGTTTGAAAAGAGTAGTGCCGGGAAAGGTGGTGTTGAGAAGGGTAGTGTTGAGAAAGAATAGTGCTTAGAAAGAGGGTGTTAGGGAAGAATGATTGAAAAAATTTGGTATTAGAGAAAAGTGATGTTGGAGAAAGATAATTTTAGGGAAAGTGGTGTCAGGAAAGAATGGTAAACTATTAGAATGATAATAATACTTTATTTACTGCATTAATTGTTTATGCTATATAGATGATTGACTGCTGTCTATATATGCTATAGAAATTAGTTTCGGCTACACTGAAAATATTTACAGCTATTTTCATAAATTCTGGGACACTCTAAAAAAAATTTGCTGAATTTTATTCAGCTGAATTTGATAAGCTATTTATCTCAGTGCTATACAGTATAAATATATAATACATATGTATTTGTTACTAAAAATTTTCAAACATATTCATTGGAAAATTAGTTAAAAGAACTTAGAAGACTTAAATTAGAGTAATTGTTAAACGTTTGGGTATTAACAGGTTTTCTGTGGGTCAATTCTCAAGCAATTTCAAAGGTATGACAGTGTTGATGAATTACTATCACTTTAAATAAATATTATACATACTTTGAACTTTATTATAATTTTTAAAATATTGTCAACAAATATTAATAAAATTTTTAATTTGTATTGTATTTTTTTATAACCCTGATCATATTTAAAATTTTTTTATTAGTGCCTATTTGTGTAATACTGTATAGAAAGTTACATATTAAAAAAACAAAATTTCAAATAAACAAGTTTGCTATACTATAAGTTATCAAAGATAATTAAAGATTCACAAACAGGAATTGAAGTTTATATGTTTATTAAGAAAGTCCAACTTATGTTCAAAACATTTTTAGTTAATTGGCAGGAACAGTTTTTGACATAAATTTTTGTATTGTACATATTGGATAAGGCAAAAAAAAAAAAAGTTGAAATAGTTGATATTGCAAATATAATATTATGTTGATTGAACAATGTGCTGTAATAATAGTAACTTAATAATTTTTTATATACTGATTATACTGAAATCCAGCTGTAAGCACCAATTTTTTGGCAATCCAAAACAAATGCTGAAATCTAAAACATATGCCATAATCTAATTTATTGAGGCCTAAGAATTAGCAAAAATTAAAAACTAGAACCTGAGCAACGCCAGGTCCTACGCACTAGTTACAAGTAAAGACTCACCTAGTTGCTCAATGAGTACCTGCTATAGTAAAATTCGCCTCTATACTATCTTATCCTGAATTTGGCTTCAATAATACGTTAATAGCTATAGTAGTTCTTACCGCCTGTCAAAACTACATATTCATTTTTCACCAATCTGCACGTTTCTCTTCAGCAATCCAACCTAATAATTTTTTCTTAGTTATCTCATATACTATTTCATATCTTGAATTCTCCTCTCTTTTTCTTCTTAATGCATTAACATGTTTGTTTGGAGAAATTCTTTTGTTCGGAGATTCATCTTCTTTTTTATTCTTTTTTTTTCTTCTTTTCTTTGTTTTCTTGTAAGACCTCCTTTTTTCTTTAGCTGTAATACCATTTTCCTTTTTCCATTCTTGTATGAGTTTATATCTTACAACTCATATTCTTTTATAAACTTTGTTCATTCAGTTCTTTTATAGTGTTACTATAAAGCTCTTTGTTTAGTTGTTGGAGCTAAACGTGAGTCTAAGCTCTTCGAAGTCTTCTTTTGTAATAAGGTCTCTGATCCATCTTTCTCTTTTGCATAACTCTTCCGCTTGGCTTTCCTTTTCTAATATTATTAATATAGGTTCTTTTTTTTCCTCTAAATCTTGTATGTCTTTCATTTCTACAAGGGTTGCCTTTACTACTTGTTCCTCTATATTGCAGAGCAAATTTAAAGATATTTCACAGCTTACAAGATATTCTATGTCCTTTTTCTTCTTATTACATATAATACAAATATCTGTTTTATATGTTTTGGGACTTTTTTAATTGAGCCGCCTTGTTAGAACTAGTAACTTGAATCAGTTGAGCTATAATCGGTTAACTGACTCGAACCGAATAAATTTTGAGTAACCAGTTGAGGAAATTTTTAATCAGTTGACCCGGTACAACCAGTTGGCAAGATCAATATAGTATGAGAAAATGTCAAAATGATATAGGAGAGAGTAAAGATCCAAAAAGTTCTGACAAGAAATAAATGAATATAAAAGACAAGCAGGTCAAGACAAAAAATTAGAATAATGCTCTGAGAATTTTAATCTTAACCGGTTGGTAATCGGTTGAATGAAATAATTAGGTTCGGTTAACCAATTAAGAGAATTTTTCTCGGTTCAAATCACTAGTTAGAACTAGAAGCAGATTATTTATACACTTTATTTCAAAGAGCTGTACTGCATTAGACTTAAAAGTGTAATTTCGCTATCTTGTTCCACTCTTTAGTAGTGCATGAAGAATATCCCAGAATTAAAAATTTTTTCTTTCCTGATGAGTCTTGTTGTGTGCGCTATATACAAATGTCCATTTAGCTTTAATTAGAACCTTTCCCAAAAGCTTGGTAAAAGAGTAAATTGACTTTTCGACTATTTCTCCTTCCTATACATATTTGTACTTATAATACTTTGTATCTATTGTTCTTGAGGTTAAGTACTCTACTAATTTGGCACCTTCTTTTGCTTTTAGATCTGCAAGATCATTGAATATATCACCTGAATGCCCTTTTATTTTTGCAAAAAAAACATTTAGCTCCTTTGTCTTTATCATTTCTATAATAGTTGCAACAAGACCGAGCC